TTTCCCAATACAGGCTTTGACATCAGGCACTCATTAATTTCTGATTGATCTTTCCAAGAGCAACTGCTCAGCAAGACCATAAAGCTCAACGCCCTGCCTTCAACCTTCCAACTCTGCAAGCAGAAAAGAGCAGGACTTTAGTTAATGGGGATGAAGACTGCTTTAGTGCAGCACCAAACTCCTTAAACACCACAGCACTCAGTGCTGCTTAATCTCAGGCTTTTTACAGTCCTCCTACTGCTACTATGCAGTAACCTGGTTAAATATCTCTAGCAGGCTTGACTGCAGAGCTAACAGGGCCTTCAAACAGGGTCCACTTGTGGCTGGTTCCTTGGTTGTCACACTGGCAATGTGAAAAGAATGGCCCAAATAGATCAGGCAGTAAAGCAATCTGGAACTGAGGACACCACATCACACCACACATACTAGGAGAGGTGGTGCTGTTCTGGACTACCTTTAATCTGGTCCCAAGTTCTGAACCTCCATGAGCACCTGGAGCAAATAGGACATCTTTACAGAATGAATATTGCAGCTTAGTTCCCTCCAAAATAGTGTCCTCTAGAAGGCATGCATGGAAAATGGAAGAGATCATGAGATAAGATGAAAGAGGGGAGGTTGAGATGAGCTCTTAGGCAGAAGCTCTTCCCTGTGAGGGTGCTGAGGCGCTGGCACAGGGTGCCCAGAGAAGCTGTGGCTGCCCCATCCCGGCAGTGTTCGAGGGCAGGTTGGACACAGGGGCTTGGAGCAAGCTGCTCTAGTGGAAGGGGTCCCTGCCTGTGGCAGGGGCTGGAGCTGGATGGGCTTTAAGGTGCCTTCCAACCCAAACCAGGCTGGGATTCTGTGATTTGCTCTGAAAGCTCAATCCTGACCCTAAATAAAACACTCACATAAACGCAGTGTTGTGCTGTAGCTGACTGAAACCTGGTGGTGCGTTTCGAGTAACGGTGACATTCAGCATAAAGAGCTGGAAAACGGTCACTTTTAATTCAGCAAAGCAAGCAAGGCAGAGAGGGGCATACGTGACTGCGTTTACCAAGGCCAGCACTTCCCAGCAAGGTGCCAACACCACACTCGGCTCCGGAAGCACACGACAAACGCTGGCTGTGGCGGCTGCTGCGGGGATGGACGTCTGTGTTCGTGCTCAGAGCTGGGAGCTGAACCGGGAATGCAGGGCATGACTGAGGCACTGCCTTGTGGAGGGAAATACGCCCTTGATGGTGGGCTCTTAATGGTGATTTTAGAGACTCTCTAGAAGCTCCCCCATGTGTGCTAAATCATTGTCACAACTTAGCCTAAATGGTGTGAATGTTTTCCTGAGGACAGCTTGGATCCAAACTGGCTGTATTTGCTTCCATTACCAGGCTCAAGACCCTAACAGTCCCACAAAACACGAACAGGAGGCTGGCTGGCTGGCACGGGCACGTCCCTTAATACACGTATTTGGTACATCTGTTACACTTTTAACTTGGAAACTATGGAAAACGCAATACCCTAAAAGAATATAATACTTCGGCCTTTCAGACAATGATTTCGACTTGATAAATGATATCGATTCAGACAGCGTATGCCCAACGTTTAACAAAAACACAACTGGAAGGACACCTAGTGGAAAGGTAAGCCATAGCTGATGTTTGCACGGCAACGGGCAGCTTGAGTAGCGACAACAGCAAGAAGGGAGTTTCTTTATGAGAAGGGATGGGAGGAGAAAGAAGTACTTGATAAAACGGGTGGAGTACAATTTAGGAGGAGGATTTCCTCAGTGACAAGAGCTTACGTGTCTGGGTAATAATCTCCCAAGGAAACAGGATATTCGGTTTGACAGAGGCAGAATTTCCACAGAAATGTGGAATGGGAAACGCAGTATGAACAGGGGGAAATTCAGAGTCCTCCTACATACACATACTAGCTCTAGCAGGCTAGTTCTGTAGGGTACAGCAGATAACAGGAACAGTCCTGCCCTGGGGCAACAGTAACTCCTAATGCGAGAGAAATCACAGATTTTCTATAATTCATTTCTGCAAGCAATATTCCTTGATGTGGGAATGAATTTTGTGATTGATCTTTTTCCCTTCTTTTTGCTTGTTCACTTATTTGTATAATTCATGAATTACCAGTGCCTCACATCCAGTTCTAAAGAACTATTTTGGTTAGTCTGCTCTCAGCAATCTACTTGCAAATACGAAAGAACAGAGTTAATCGAGATGCTAGAACTTGAGAGAGAAGCACTTCGTCATCTATCGACAGTGTGATGTGGCAAGGCTGTTCAGCACTGGAGCAGCAACAGTGCTGGAGAAAGAGTTCATTCTAGGTCAGTAACAGGACACTGACAGCAAGAAGCGCCTATAAGTCCTTGGAACTGTCTGTAAAGAATAAGAGCATATTCTGCCCGAGTTTCCTCCTAGCAGCTCATGCGTTTGAGCTGCACATTGATCTTGCACTTGCAGATTTTATTCTTACCTGCTTCTACCTTCACCTCCTTCGTCTCCCTCTCTAAGCAGTCAGACACAGTGCCCACAGAACTGACTGGAACGGTCAAGGTCTCACAGGAAAACTAATGCAGAGAAGTGAGCTTCCAGGGAGCAAGGAAGTGAGAGGGGTTTCGTTTGGGAAACAACAGTGTCAGAAGTACCTCTCCACTGAGAGGACACAGCCTTTCTCATTCACAAAACCTTCAGATGGGTTCACTCCATGGAAAGGATATTTTCAGACTATAACAAGATTATAGCAGATTATAACTTTTTCCCCCCCAACTGGCTCTTAATAAATCCTCTTAAATGAAGAATCCTCATTTGTCCTACAAAAACCTATAGCCCTGAAACCATAAATGCAAATGTCTTGCATTCTAAGCTTTGCTTCTGCCAGATACTCCCTGCACACGTTCACCTCAACACAGAGCTGAAGAAGCTAGTCCACGGTCCTCATAGTGGGTAACAGTCAGGGATCCAGCATGACCAGCTACTTTCCAACCACGTGTAACACAGCAGCCAGAGGAATGCAGGACAGCCTCTGTGAGGATTACCCACTGTGAAGAATTTGAGGATGGATCCCACAGGATTCCCAGTATTTTGCATGTTTCAGTGCAAAAAGATGCAGCATGCCATTTCCCCATGTTAACAGGAAAATTTTTACTCTGAGTGGCAGCATTCCTTAAGGCACATGGCATAGACTGTGATACAGGAAGCATCTATCACATCTATGGTCTAGTGACGTACTTCCAAAATAGACTGAAGGCTCTTCCCATTATCAGCAGTGCAGCTGCTGAACACCTGACAGGCAGATGAGCTCCTCATTTTGGCAAGGGAGAATCACTTTCCTCATCTCACAGAAGAGATCAAAATTCAAACAGGGCTTGAAGTGTTTTCATCCTCTCCCTCCAGCACTGTCTAAATTACCTTCTGAAACACTAAAGAGCAGAGCTACGCAGTAAGTCATTTTCTGAAGGAAGTTCCTAACAAACTTCAGGCTCCTGGTAATCAATTAGACTTGATGAAGAAAGGTACTTTAAATAGAAGCAAGAATTAAACCACAGGACTTGCTATCAGAGTAATTTCCCTTCCCCCAGGAGCAGCACGTTATGAAGAAACAACAGCTCAGAAGCAGGGCTCTACTGCACATCTGCAATGTCTGAAACTCACCTGGCTTTCCTTCCCAAATGCAGCCCACAGCCCAAAGCCTGACCCCAGAACAACACGCTCAACAAGAACTGGCCTGAATTAAACACCAGATCCACAACACACCGCGTTTCCAAACGTCGGCTGCTGTCTTCAGTCTAGAGGGTTCACGTTTGGTAACTAAAGCAAAGACAAACTTCCTCCAATTCCATTCTAAAATTTCACATTAAAAAGAGAAAAGGAAATCCTATTTTTGATGTTCTTCTACACAAACATGGCATTCTTTACTGAGGTGGACAGATGCATGTATATTATAAACTTGCATCATGCTGAGTTGCTGGCTGTCCAGCTAAATATACACAGAGCATGTTATGTTCTAAGATGCTGCATTATTATGCAGCAGTTATGCTCCTCAGCAACTGGAGTGCGAAGGAACTGGGAGGATCACAGTCCTCTGGTGGGTCATACACAGCCTTGGGGACATGGTTTGTATGTGCCCAAGGCCATTCCTGCCCCGGGGCTGTGCTGAGGAAGGGGACAGTGAGCCTTTCCAGTGCGCCTACCCTTACTGCATGGGAATTCACTGCTAAACTCCAAACTCGGATATTACAAAGCAATTACATTCCACAAAATATCACAAGAACCAAAACAGAACTCACCAGTTGAGCCATACACACGCATCCTTCATCACACCCATGGTTGGGTCAGGGGCACCAACCTGTGTCTGGCATTCCAGCTCAGAGCTGCAGGGTGCCGGTCACACTCAGCTTCTTCACATCCGAGAGGTTCCCCAGGTCCCTGAGCATCACAGCAACCTTCCTTTCACTTGTCAGCTTAACCTTGTTTTGGACATATCATAAGTCCCCTTTAGGCACTGGAGCTGCTCTAAGGTCTCCCTTTAAGGAGCCTTCTCTTCTCCAGCCCAGCTCTCTCAGCCTGGCTCCAGAGCAGAGCTGCTCCAGTTGATCTCATCTGACTAATCTGTTATGTTGATGCCATGGTGGTTTTACACGTTTTCCTTCATCACTGGCAAGGCAGCTATCAAACACACGTGGGCTTGGACTGAACCAAGAGCTCTGTTTCATGGGCATGCTTTAGCTGCCTTGTATCCTGCCTGGCCTTGCATGTGCCAGCCGCTGAAGCTCAAGCCAGCTTTTATACCTGTGGATTATTATAGCTGAGGAAAACCCAGCAGACTGCCACGAGTCATTTTAGGTTTTCCAGACGTTGTCAGGTTTAGTAGGGAAAATACATCGGCAATAAGAGAAATTCAAAAGCATTTCCTCCTGGCTGCAGACAATACAAGAGTGCCCCAAGCACTCTGTGCCATGACACATGTCAACCACTCACAGCATCTTCCAGCGGGAAGCTTTCCTGCTGCGCACAGGAAAAGGCTCATCTTCTGTATCACGTTTCCTCAGTGACTCTTTAAAACGTCAGCTCCAGTGGCTGTGTGGACTGCACCACTTCACCAAGCACAGGGAAAGGAATCAAGAGGGAATAAATAAGGGTAAGTGTCAGCCAGGCATCTCCCCAGCTCTGCCTCTCTGCGCTTCTGCCTTATTTTCTTGCTGGCTTTATATTAAACCAGATGAGATCATCTTTTCTATAGCTATTGCTTGACTTTTTTAGTCAGATGATGCAGTCTGTCCTTTTAAGATGTCTGCTTTGGAAACACCAGCTCTAGTAGATTTCTTCTGAAGTCACAGATGAGTATTCAGACCCAAGATATTCCCACTAACTCCTTGCTAGCAAAGACATAGGAGATGGCTGGGATTCACATTTCAGCTTCCCTGTGACAAAGCTTAACTTTTATGCAGCATTGATCCAATTTAAAACATAGGAATGAAGTATTTAGCTCAGGAATCTAAAGCTGTCTAACTTAATTCTGAAAAGCTATTTACACAATCCTTGGAAGTAAATTGAAGCAAATTGATTTAAACCAAAATCAATTTTTCCTACCATTTTAGACTTTATTAAAAGAAGCTTCCTACAGAAAAATAAGATAGACTTCACCTGTTTTAAATTCATAAAGAAAGATTGGAAATTCCCTGACCTGTGCAAGGGAGTTTGTGTTTCAGACTCCAAACCCAAGGCTAGCTGTGTGGTTTTAAATGCAGAGAAGTAGTAGGGAACAGAGAAAGAGAATAGCTTTTGAGGTTTTAAACTGTCGAACACAAGGGACTGAAGTCTAGTGGGATCTACTCTACAGAAATGGGAACGACACAGCAAAAGGGGTAATTACCTGCTATTCCAAAGCATGGTTATTTAATCCCCAAAAGACAAGCAGTACCAGATATGCAACATGCCCAGTTCTCCGTTCACCTGCGTCTTAAACTGTATGTTCTTGGCGATGTGAAGCCAGCGGGCAGCAAAAAAGAACCTTTTGCCACATAAAAATACATACTTCCTGCAGGTTTTTCTACGCTTCCTGGTTATGTGTTACGTATGACCCCCGGTTAGAACTTCCATCATCTCAGAAAGAAGATTTTTAGACATTTACAATTACTCAATCTCTAGAACTCAATTTTGAAAACCGACTTCAGCACCCAGTTTTAACACTAGGCCTGTGAAGTATAGAAACAGAGTCAAAATCTTGGCCGAAACCTGACTGGTTTTCCTCATCACCTCCTGGTGACGGTCTGTTCCAGAACTTTGAACAGCAATCTATTTCATACAACAAAGCAATGAACTGGAGACAGAATGGGAACACTCTGCGCTCTCCCAGCTGCTTTTATGCTACTTAATGTCAGAAAGCATGGCTCTGTGGGAAATACAGAAAGCTAAAGATTCGCTTCCAAAACCTAAACCTCCCGAGTAATGCAGAGAGATAGCAGTGTTGTAGCTCTGAATGCAGAAACATGCTAACATAGCCCACTTATCAGGTTAATATTCTTCTTATTCTCTGGGTAGCTGAAGCATGAACAAGACAGAGCTCGTCACTGCTGCAGGCTTTGCTGTGTCACTGCTGCTCCACATGACCCAGGCTGAAGCCTGTCCTGCCTCCTGTGACTGCAAGTCCCTGGGAGGCACGAAGGGTCTGCAGGTCGACTGCAGCTCAAGGAAGCTGACAGCAGTGCCTGCCTTGCCTGGTGACACCAAGAGGCTTTATCTCCAGAACAACAGCCTGAGCTGGGTCCCTCCCGGCACCCTGGACAGCCTGCACAGCCTGGAGGAGGTGAAAGCCTCTGACAACCCCTGGAACTGTGACTGTCACATCCTGTACCTCAAACTCTGGTTAGAAGACGTCTCTGCACCCTCTCTTGCAAAAGCCATATGCGCAACCCCAGCTCCCGTGAGGATGAAACCCTTGAGGCAGCTGACTGGGAACGAGCTGGGGAGTTGCAAGAGGCTTCTCCCCATCAAGTGCCTGGAGTTCTTTTGGCGAGACCTCATTTTAATTGCTGGAGCAATAATCACACTTATTTTAGTAGCATGGGCTCTGAAATTCTCCAAAAAGCTGGTCTGCCAACTAAACCTATGCCAGCCTCCCCCTCGGGCTGGTTGCTGCCACTAGCTTTAACAGAAACACCCAACTCTGCCACCACCAAGCAGCACATGCCCTGGCAACACCAGTTTCAGCAGTGAAGATGCTACAAACAGATCCCAGGGGTCAAAGCGTGGGTCCCCAGCTAGGCAAGTTTGATTTCATTTCCTTTCAGACTGACCTCGGTGATGTACAATAGGCAAGTTTCATTCTGCTGCCATCTACTCACATGAAAAGCAGTTTCTAATTTTTAAAAATCATTTAACTTAGCGTTTTCCCACTGAATTCTTGGGGGGGGAGATTCACATCCCCAAATCCCGCGCTTTGTAACAGATGGAGATGAACACAAATGTACTAGTTAGTAATTCTTTTCTGACTCAGAAGCTGTGTGAGTTCACAACCCGTTACCCCTCACGGTGTCTCAGTAGGCTTGGGAGGACCCTTCTTGTGTGTAAATACCACCATCTCCTCTGCAGGTTCAGTTCCCTGCCAGCAAAACCTCTATGGTTCTATACACCCCTTACTGAGTATGTTTAAAGACAGCCTCTTAATGAGAATATAACTCATAGAAATAATGTGAAATATCACTGAATTTCCTAGAGAGCTGACAATAAAAAAGTATTTTCTATGAAATTGAAATCCTGAAGTTTAGTGAACATTCATACTCACCCAAGATTGATCTCCTGCACAGCTCTACACATTGCTGATTAAATTCCTCAGACAGTTCCAGAGCTTGTCTTCCGGTTTTACTACTGACATTCCATGCACTGGCTTTGATACAACAGCTTTGAAGAGGAGGTATTCTCTTCTCCTGCTCCCCATTCCTCACATTAAAAACATCACAGCAACTCAGGTGTATTGTTTTTTTCCCTAATCTGACTCATGAGGCTCCAAGGACAGCCATTCCACCTGGGACCCCATCTGGTTTGGTGAAGGTAGGCTACTTGGACGGGAGTCTTCTAAAATCAATACTACTGCTGCCAGTTCAGTTTAAGACACAGTTAGCAAGTGCTCCTCCTAGCCCCAAACCTGAGCCAGGTGTTCAAGGTTACCTGCTGAAGACACTAAAGACTGCCTGGCTCTTTACCTAGCTCCTCGACAAGGGAGTGGGCTTCCTGGTAACACCCATAATACCCCTAGCAAAGCTGGGCATGAGCTTTAGATTAAGAAAAGGAAAGGAACAGAGTCAAATGTTTTCCCCATAAAACAAGTGATGATCTGGGAGACAAACATCCCCACTGCAACACTAAGGTCTGCACATGATGCACCATGGAGAGCAGGAAGAGAAGTAGATGCAAAGAGCAGTGGGTGACTTGGTGTGCCAAGCATTTAAAAGCAAGATCATACATCTGGAAACAAAAGGTGGGTTGAGGAACCAATACAGAGAAGGCCAATAATCTGGTCATCATGACCTCCCATGTATGACACTGCAGCAGAGGGTTAATAGGACCTTTTCTTGTCAGAATAGGGAATATCATTTAGGGATAGAAAGATTCATTTACTTCCAGGTCTACATAAGCTACAACAATTCAGTAGCAATGCCTACAAATCCAGGAGAATCAGCTGCAGAAGAATCCAAAAAGCAACTGTCATGCAAATAAAGGATTGGAAAATGTATCTTCAAAGGAACTTTGTGAATGTAATTTAATAAAGAGGAATTTAGGAAATGACAAGAGTCTACATAGAGAGAAATTTGTTAACAAAGGGTGGGGAGTAGGACTTGTCACATCAGACTTGAAACAGGGCTCAGGACCTAACAGTGAAGACACTGAAACACTGACTCAGCTCACCAAACGGCACAGCCATGAATCCCACGGGAACCAATACGGGGCATTCTTTCAAACTGATTGATAGGCGCTCTCTGAAAGGAGAATTCTAACAGAATGGTATGAGACACCTAAAACATTGCAGTCTTCTCGTGGCTTTGGTCACCTGCAAAAGCTATGGTGGGACAGGACACAGGAAGAGAGCCCACAACGGCAGCGCACGGCAGGGGCAGCCTCAGCGAGCACTGCACCACTGCGAGGAGCTCAGCCTTCCCACCCACCACAACAGCAGCAGCATTCAACTCTGCCTTCTCCAAGTGCACTCCTCACCCTGAGGACTCGGTGCAGTAAAGAACTGTCTCAGTAAGGCTGTACCTCCTTCCGGTGCAGACAGGGTGTCTTCACAAGTAGGTGTGCATTTGAACATTCAGAATGCCTCCAGCTTTATTAAATGGTATTCTACATAAGTAACCTCTGCAGGAGAAGATTTCAAACTCACACAGTGGTTTGATCCACAGCACTTAGATCCTTCTAGAATACTTTCTCTGCGTTGAGCCTTTCAATGCTTTAGAAGGCAACCATCATTTTGTATTAATGCAGAATATGACAGAAGAAATGCACCCGAGTCCCTCATGGAGAGTTTCCTAAGGGATATTTCTTGTTTCCCCAAAATAAAAGAAACCGTTAACACTAAAAGCTTATCGCTCTTTCATGGTATAAAGCTAGATATGCATAGAACAGTAAACTGCTGTAGTGCTCCTACAAGGATCCTGCAGAGGGACTCTTCATCAGGGACTGTAGCGATTGGACAAGGGATGATGGGTTCAAACTGGAACAGGGGCAGCTCAGGTTAGATCTTAGGCAGAAGCTCTTCCCTGTGAGGGTGCTGAGGCGCTGGCACAGGGTGCCCAGAGAAGCTGTGGCTGCCCCATCCCTGGCAGTGTTCAAGGCCAGGTTGGACACAGGGGCTTGGAGCAAGCTGCTCTAGTGGAAGGGGTCCCTGCCTGTGGCAGGGGCTGGAACTGGGTGAGCTTTAAGGTTCCTTCCAACACAAACCATTCCATGTTTCTATGTATAGCTTTAATTGTTCAAACAGGAAAAAATGTGCAATTAGCAAACATTTCTGCTTAGAGCAACCAAGACATTAAATAAGATGCACAGAATACAGCGGGGGTGGGAGGGAGGGGTGAAGATCCACAGATTTGAGAGAACGCGTTTTCTGACCTTGTAAGAAGGAAAAAGAAGGAATCCCTTCCACGGCAGTACACAGTGCCACTAAAGCAGCATTGTATTTCTCACTTCTGATCCATTTGGCTTTTAGCTGAAACCAAACCTCTGCGAAGGGGGAAGCTGGAGCTGCTAACTGAAGGCTTCAGAGCAGCATTCAGCTGCTTATCTGGCAAGGCCACTATGTTGTACTTAAGCCACACACTCCATTCACGTGCAGAAATACTGCTGCAGTTGCTAATAATGTGCAAAGACAGGAAACCACATCAGCTATCTAAATGAAACACATGGGCAGCATTCCCAAAGGAGTTTGCAATGGTCACAGAAAGCATTGCTATACGTTGCCTGCAAGAGTGCAAACTGGGGAATGTATCTATTTTCACGTTCTTTGGTAACAAAGGTATAACTACATAGTATAAATACTGGTTCCATCTTTGGCAAGAGAATTAACCAGCCTCAATTATTGAGCAAGAACAAATGTTTTAAAACAGTTCACTCTAATACACAGTATATTTGTACGAAGAGCACTTCACGGAATCCCAGACTGGTTTGGGTTGCAAAGGACCTTAAGATCACCCAGTTCCAACCCCCTGCCATGGGCAGGGACACCTCACCCTAGACCATGTCACCAAAGGCTTTCACTGTATATTGCAACTGAACTCCTGGCTCCATTTACTAAAGAGCACGTTAGATGGATCACCCATTTACTTGAAGTGCTCAAGGCTTTCTTAGCACTGTAGCAAAACCCATCACTCAACCAGAACAACTGCTGCTTGGCTTCATGCTTGCTTTCTGTCTAGGATCTACGGGTAGTTTATCCAGACCCATTGTTTGAGCGCATGCAGCAGAGAAGCTCACTGCTTTTTTTCTTTTTTCACCCATTTGACACTAATAAATGCCCAGCGTTTATTTAGATAACAGCTACCAATGCTATGTGAGCCAAGGGAGGCTTCAAAACAGTGCTCTGTTGTGATTTTACCGTTCAAATGCTGCTCCAAGCAGGGGCAGACTCCTCCTGGGTGTGAATGTGTAATGGCCATCCACAGCTGAAACCTGCAGACATTTTAGTTCAACTCTCACCATGCCGAATTCGACTTCCCAGTTCCCCAGACTTGGTGCTCTGGCATCATGACCCCATCACAAGCACCGTCAGGTGTTCTCCAGTAAAGTCTTCTCTCTCGCACTAGGGTAACACGGTTTGAGTATCACTCCTGAGCTCTCCGGCAGCGCTGGGGAGCTCCAGCAGCTGGATACATGGCATCGCCCTGTTCTGAGTCTTCTCTGACACGTAAGTCATTGTTAGAAGGAGTTCTGAATTTGCAGTCACTTATCTCCATGGTCTCACATTCATATCTAACCTGAGAGGATTCTGACTGTAAACTTTGCCTACCCTAATGTTTGGCAACCTACCTAAAGTTACTTCACGCTGAATTCATACTGCGTACTAAGTACAGCTTTGCTCTTAGCAGTAAAATACCTTGCCAAGTTAAGCAGCTTCTGTTGCATTTACCATTTTGCCAAGTAGCCATGCTAAGAAGATTGAGATTTAGCGTCCAGGTCTCAGCCCTAATTCAGGTATTTAAGTATGGAGAAAAGAAGTAAGACAAAGTTTTTTTCCTGTCAAGATAAACCCAGCTATTTCATAAGATATATGTTGCATAAGGACAGTAATTTTCCACCTTAGTGCACAGCTACTGCTTGCACTGACCAGGTGTGGAACTGCATTAACAGCTACCAGACTGACATAGCCAGTAAAAGCTAGAATACTCACAGCCTAACAGGACTGTAATGAGCAGGAACTCCCTCAGGTGAATAGGGCATTTCTTTTATTATGGAACTAGTAATCATATACTAACTGAACGTACAGAGTACATGTAGAGTGGTAGTGGGACAAGCTTATTAACTGGTCTAAACCCACCACACTTGTATTCTTTGAGCTCAAGCAATCAGCCCACAGTCTCATGTTGGTTTTATGTGTAAATGCACTGCTTGGGGAATTATTAAACTAGAATCTGAGGCTTCACAGACCTGCTGGTCTTCCCGGACTCTTAAAGGCCACTCGATGTTATGATTTATACCCAATTTTACTTTTGCCTTCCAACAGGTGAAATGACTACACTGAAAAATCCACAATTCCCATCTAAGGACTCCTTAGATAGTGCTGAGCTGATCATAATGCTCAGCAGTGCTAAGTTTATCTTGGTAACCCTGTTCGTCTTAACACTCCTCTTCAAAGCACTGCATGAAACCATCTCCAAAAGTGCCTCCAGTCTGTTGCTAGAACCCACACAAATATTTTGCTATTACACTGACTCCAGTCAAATTTAGATTACACTCAAGAACGTGTGTGATGACAAAGTGCTTCGGTTGCCTAACAGCCACACGGCTGGTACTTACAGTGAACTGGTCCCCAGGGGAAGCTGCTCCCTGATGTAACCCATCAGCCTTCACATTCTCCTTTCAGCCTGCAGGCAGCAGCACTGATGTCACATCAGCAGCACACAGCTACTGAC